GGCTATTTTTTGGTTGCAGCCATTATTGTTGTTTGGCGGGCCAGGGCTGGATTCAAACCCACCACCTTAGGTGTATGTGGCTGGCACTTTAGCCACTTGAGCCACAGGCGCCAAGCCTAAGGTGACCAGACGTCCCGCTTTTTAACAATGTCCCGCATCCTGTGACATTTTTAAAAAGTCTCGATTTTTGGAAAGAATGCATGACAAGCTAGGGAACAGCGGGAGGATGGGAAGGGAATATACGGTTTTTGGCTGCTGAAAAGGTTAATGTAACTTCATTTGGGAATGAAGAGGTTAATGTAACTTCATTTGGAAATGAAAAGGCTAATGTAAACTCCCTACTCCCTCCTGGGCAAGGTATCAGAAGGAGACTGGCTCCCTCCCTTGCTTCTAGGCAAGGACAATTAGCTCAGAAGGAGCCAAACTGTCTGGAACAAACAAGTAGCCTCCCCCTCTCTAGAGCAAGGTGACCAGATAGTCCCACTTTTGGTGGGACAGTCCCGATTTTTAACAATTTGTCCTGCATCCTGCGGCGTTTTAAAAAAGCCCCAACTTTTGGAAAGAATGTACGACAAGCTAGAGAACACAGGAGAACAGGAAGGGAATATACTTCCGCTGCCATGTGGCTATTTCACCAGGATATGCATTTTATATTATTTTTGTTAATTTTATAATGTTAAACTTTAATAATAACAAATAATTGTTGAGAACTGATTATCGAGAACTGCTTATCAAAGTTTGCATTGTTGTCAGGCCCCGCCACCCCCCAATGGTGTCCCCTTTTACCAATGTTAAAATCTGGTCACCTTAGCCAAGCCCTTTTCTTTCTTTCTTTTTTTTTTTTTTGAGACATAGTCTCACTCTGTCACCTTGGGTAGAGTGCTATGGCATCATCATAGCTTACAGCAACTTCAAACTCTTAGGCTTGAGTAATCCTCTTGCCTCCGCCTGCTGAGTAACTAGGACTACAAGCATGTACCACTATACCCAACTAGTTTTTCTGGGGGGTTTTTTGGCAGTTTTTGGCCGGGGCTGGGTTTGAACCCACCACCTCTGGTATATGGGGCCAGTGCCCTACTCCTTTGAGCCACAGGTGCCACCTAGTTTTTCTATTTTTAGTAGAGACAGGGTCTGGTTCTTGGTTCAGGCTGGTCTTTCAACTCCTGAGCTCAAGCAATCCACCAGCCTTGGCCTCCCAGAGAGCTAGGATTACAAGCCTAAGCTACCAAGCCTGCCTAGCCTATTTATCTTTTCTTTACACTAGGAACATTCAAGTTATTCTTTCAGTTATTTTGAAATAAACAATAGTTATTGTTAAATATAGTCACCCTGTACTTGTTGTAACCCAGCCCTCTTTCCCCTGCCCACTCCTGTTCCCCAGCCCTCACCTGTCCCCTCCACCACCACCCTCACCTGTTTCCCCCGCCCGCTCCAGCCCATTTCCCTCCTCTTCCCTTCTCCCCCCCAGAGTCGACTCCAGGAACAAGGCAAGTCCCTCCTCCCCCCAGGGTGGCCAAGAACGTTCCCAGGCCCCCTTGTTCCCCCTAGGGTTGCCAAGAACAAGCTTCAGGTACAAGGAAGAAAAGTCCCAAGGTTCACAAAACCCCCAAGTTCTCAGTAGATGAACAATGGTGGAAAACTCACTGAGACTTGATTAATTACTGTTGTATAACCATAACCATTGTGATACGAGATGTATCCATTGTCAACCAAAACTGTATTAATTATTGTTCCATTGCTGTATCCATGACTACCCAAGTTGTAACCCCCCCTTAACTAGCCACGTTTTGCTTCTGTAATATGCTTGCACAAAGCCTATAAAAGGCAATTCACCCTCACACCTGGGCTGCTGACTGTCTCTCGGAGCAGCAGCCCCTGCAGCAGGTAAAATAAATTACCAATTAATTAACCTAAGTGGGGGCCCAAGTCTATTTTTCCAGGTTCCCCTAAGTTATTTCATACTGACTGCTAAAACCACTCTCTTCTACCTATTTTGGCACTTTTGGAAAAGAAAGAAAGCTATCCTTTTTTAAAAAATAAATTAAAAAACTCTACCTCTTAAAAAAAAAAAAAACATAGTTACCCTGCTTATCTACTGAATAGCAACTGCTTTTCTAATAAGATAGGAAGATGGAAAACACAAAACAGCTCAGTAACAATCATACAGTTCCTGAACAATCAACTCTCTGCAGAGTGCCATAAAGTAAAAGGCAATACGTTTTATTTGTCTTGTCTTTTTTTTTTTTTTGAGACCTTACTCTGTTGCCTGTGCTGACTACAGTGACATCAAACTGACTGCAACCTTGAACTCAAGTGATCCTCCTGCCTCAGCCTCCCTAGTAGCTGAGATTACAAGTACAAACAACATTACCTGGCTAATTTTTCTATTTTTTTATAGAGACAGGGCCTTGCTATGTTGATTGGCCTCAAGTAGATCTTCCTATCTTGGCCTCCCAAACTGCTAGGATTATAGGCCTGAGCTACCATGCCCAGCTGAAGAGATACGTTTTTTTTTTCTTTTTTTTGAGACAGAGTCACTGTTGCCCTCTGTAGAGTGCCGTGTCATAACAGCTCACAGCAACCTCAAACTCTTTGGACTTAAGCGATTCTCTTGCCTCAGCCTCCCAAGTAGCTGGGACTATAGGCACCCACAACAACACCTGGCTATTTTTTGTTGTTGTTGTAGTTGTCATTGTTGTTTAGCAGGCCCAGGCCGGTTTGAACCTGCCACCCCTGGGTCAATACCGTAACCACTGTGCTACAGGTGGCACCCCAAGAGATACGTTTTTTATTAAAACATATTTTGAAGTAAAAGAACTACCTCCAAATCTCGTTAATTTTCAAATCAGGAAAACACAGCTTTCATAGTGATGGTGCTGTAACGTGGCAGTTTAGACAAAACATGGAATAAATCTACTTGAGGCTACATCAAGAATTCTCAACAAGAACTTATTACATACACCAAAGAATTCATAAAATACTTTACCTTCTCGCACATTTACATTTTCTAAGTATGAGTCTGTTTTGTCTTAAACCAGCAAGTTTCTAAATTGTAGTCTTGTTATATTTAATGTAATTTTTGAAATTTAAGCTGATATTGTAGTTACACTTCATACAGTCCCATTACCGGCTATAAATCAGCCCTGAAAAGGGAAAAGAAGTCCCCATCCTGGTACATGCCAAGAGATCAGTTCCAAGATTCTTTTCTTTGGAAAAAACCTGCTGGTTGCTTGGGACTAGGAAAGATTAGAATGGCCATGTACTGGTTTTCCTTTTAGACAGAGCCTCTAGCTGTCGCCCTGGGTAGAGTGCCATGGCATCACAACTCACAGCAACCTCCAACTCCTGGGCCCAAGCGAGTGTCCTGCCCCCGCCTCCGAAGTAGCTAGGATTACAGGTGTCCGCTGGATTTGAACCCGCCAGCTCAGGTGTACGTGGCTGGCACTTTAGCTGCTTGAGCCACAGTCGCCCAGCCCATGTACTGGTTTTCAATATGTCATGTCAATAAGTTGATATCAAACAACACATCCGTGCCCAGCCCTGTAATCCTAGTATTCTGGTAGGCCAAGGTGGGTGGATCACTTGAGATCACAAGTTTGAGACCAGCCTGAGTAAGAGTGAGACCCTGTCTCTACTAAAAATAGAAAAAACTAGCTAGGCCTGGTGGGCACCTGTAGTCTTAATCTACCCAGGAAGCTGAGGTAAGAGGATTGCTTGAACCTAGGAGTTTGAGGTTGCTGTGACACCATGGCATTCTAACTAGGGGGAAAGAATGAGACTCAATCTCTAAAAAACAAACAAACAAAAGCCCACACCAAGAAAAGCCTATTTAATACACGGATTTCCCTAATTCTTGCTAAATTCTTAATATATTCTTTTTTTTTTTTTTTGAAGCAGAGTGTCACTTTGTCACCCTTGGTAGAGTGCCGTGGCATTATAGCTCACAGCAACCTCAAACTCTTGGGCTCAAGTGATTCAGCTCAAGTAGCTGGGATTACAGACACCTACCATAATGTCCAGCTATTTTTAGAGAAGGGGTCTCACTCTTGCTCAGGCTGGTCTTAAACCCCTGAGCTCAAATAATCTACCCGCCTCAGACTCCCACAGTGCTAGGATTACAGGTGTGAGCCACTGAGCCTGCCTTAGATTCTTTTTTTTTTTTTTTTTTTTTTTCAGTTTTTGGCCAGGGCTGGGTTTGAACCTGCCACCTCTGGCATATGGGGCCTGTGCCCTACTTCTTTGAGCCACAGGTGCTGCCCTGGCCTTAAATTCTTAATACAGTCTTATCATCCACACACAAATGAAAAGCATTTTTTTCTTAATTATACCAAGAATAATCATATTCTTTAAAACAGTTTTCATTTATGGAAAATGCTTTTTCCCACTTTTATCATAGTCATGACTTAGAAACTATTATATTTCTATTCCATCAGACTGTAAGTAACTTCAATAAAGGAAAGAAACCACATGTTACTATATTACTCACCACTGTTTCAGCCACAGAGTCTATTATGTAATACACAATAATATATATAATATACAGTATATATTTATAGAATGAATGAGAATGAAGTATAAGAACATTCCCAATGAAAATAATGTTCCATATTTTCAAACAGGGCTGTCTAACCTGCGGGCTGCATGCAGATTTTTTGAGGATTGTTTTGCTTATCTGTGGTGTCTAATATCATGAAAAGTATACACAGACCCTATGATAGTGTTTATGTAGTTAATATAAGGCCCAAGACAACATAACTCTTCTTCCAATGTGCAGCAGAAAAGAAAAAAGGTTGGACATCTCTGGAAGTTTTGCATTACTGAAACAATCTTAGATCACTTTAAATATTTTGAGGGTTTTCGGGCGGCGCCTGTGGCTCAGTGAATAGGGCGCCAGCCCCATATACTAAGGGTGGAGGGTTTGAACCCAGCCCTGACCAAACTGCAACAAAAAATAGCCTGGCATTGTGGCAGGCGCCGGCAGTCCCAGCTACTCAGGAGGCTGAGGCAAGAGAATCAGCTAAACCAGGAGCTGGAGGTTGCTGTGTGCTGTGGCACCACTGCACTCTACTGAAGGCAACAAAGTAAGACTCTCTGTCTCTAAAAAAATAAATAAATGAATGAATATTTGGTGGGGGTTGACTTTAATGAAGTCATACCTTTTTCAAAACTGAAGAATCTGGAACTTCAATTGTTGTGATATAAAACCATGTCCTTCTGTACTGACCAAAGACAAAGGGATGGAGAAGTTTGTTTTCATCCATAAGGCAGCATTTTCTCAGCAGCAGATTTCTTAGTGCGGCTGTCGTGGAAGGATAACACCACACCCATAGAACTTCTCCATTTGTGTCCTTTTCTACGGTGGAAAGATGGTCACTGTGAGAATGTCAAACAGCAGCAAGGAAGTAAATTGATTGGTTACTCAGAAACACTTAGTGGAATCAGTTTTAACACCCTATTTTACAAAGCAACCCAGAATATGTGCAACCCTAAATTCCCACCTACCTCTATGGTTCAAATGACCTAGTTCTCATGGATCTTGAATTTTAGGACATCTGAGCAAAATGCTTTTTATAACAAACTGTGAATGAATGAAAATTGAGCCTGAAAAATTTGGTAGTTTCTCCCTATTTCTTCCCATACAAATGCATATAAACTTATTATTAACTTACATTTTTATCTAGTTGGCAGAATCTTTAATAAATACAATGAAAAGTTTTATTGAATACAAAACTACAGATAAAAATGGTGAGATCTCCTTCAAATCACATTACATACCAATTGTGTGAATTCTGTATTTAAATTTTTTTTTTAAGAGACAAGAGTCTCACTTTGTCCCCCTGGGTAGAGTACTGTAACATCACAGCTCACAGCAACCTCCAGCTCTTGGGCTTAGGCGATTCTTTTGCCTCAGCTTCCCAAGTAGTTGGGACTACAGGTGCCCGCCACAACGCCCAGCTATTTTTTTATTTTTTTGTTACAGTTATTGTTGTTTAGCTGGCCCAGGCTTGGTTCAAACCCGCCAGCCTTGGTGCATGTGGCCAGCGCAGTAACCACTGTGATACAGGAGCCAAGCCACCAATTTTTGATGTAGTAGGTTTTTTGTTTTTTGTTTTTTTTGAGACAGAGCTCACTTTGTCACAAGCCTGCCCTTGGTAGAGTTACTGTGGTGTCACAGCTCACGGCAACCTCAAACTCTTGGGCTCAGGCAATTCTCTTGCCTCAGTTTCCCAAGTAGCTGGGACTACAGGCACCCACCACAACTCCTAGCTA